GGGGGGCAGGTTCGGCTCACGTTCAGCCCAGAACCTGACCGAACCACACGCACGCACGCACGCGCACGCACGCGCACGGTGCGCGGGGTCAGATGAAGGATGCTCTGATCAGCTGAGCCTGAAGGGAGTGGCGCGCGCACGGCCGCACGCTCCCTCACGCACGCGCACACCGGCAGACGGAGACGGGACCTACCGGTGAGGAGAAGAAGCTGGAGCCCGGTCTGCCTCAGACCTAACCCGGTCTGGTCCGGGTCCTGGTCCTGGTCCTGGTCCGGGTCCGGGATCCCCTCCTGGATATGGATCCGGGTCCTGGTCCGGGTCCGGGTCCTGGTCCGGGATCCCCTCCTGGTTATGGATCCGGGTCCGGGTCCGGGATCTGGATCAGGATTCTGGGCAGAAAATGCGCAGATGGAGCCGCGCTGCGTGTCTGAGACGGGCTGTGCGCGCGGGGGCCACTTCCGGTCGGACTGTCAGAATAAGAGCCCGCAGCTCCGTCTCACACCTGACTGCCATGACGTCATCGTTACGTCACTGCTGAGGGGCGGGATCTGGACCGGTTCGGGTCCGGTTCGGTGGGTCCGGTTCGGTGGGTCCGGTTCGGTGGGTCCGGTTCGGTGGGTCCGGTTCAGGTCTTCAGAAACATCCCTCCCAGAGAAACATCCAGAGGAAAGAGCCCGGGTCTCTCTTCTCTCTCTCTTAGCTTTTATTTGTCCTAAAATTGTATTTTAATTAACAAAAAATACATTTTAAAGTTGTAGATTATACAGTCCTGTACTGCTCATTTAACAGGACAATGCTGCTTTTATACTGATTATTTATGCAAAATTTACATGCAGATTTTGCTTATTTTACATTGAATACCCCTTTATCGGGCAAGTGACTGTTTTTGGTCATTTCCCCACCTGTTAGTTATCGCGCCCATCCCCCGTCTCAGTGAGTTGTAGAATAATTTTATCTTTATCCAGCCAATCAGCAAAGATCACCCTACATTATAGGTTACTTTGTTGTGCAGTTTGACCAATCAGCAGAGACCTCGGTCACGTCAAATTTCTCTTTTTCTCCAAAGTCAGAAAAATTAGCTTTTGCAGCTAGGTTCACTTGACATTTTCAAAGGAAACATCAAAACTATCCATGTGAAGTTGATGAAACTCATACATTTTATTGTTGAATAGTTGTGTTTAGTGTTGACATACAAGTTGTTTGCTGAGGAATTATTGAAATTATTGAAAATACGGCATGAAAAATGCAGGCACCATATTTGATCATATGCCCTTTTCACTAAAGACTAGATTTTACTTAGAATGTCTGTTTTTGGACATATGCCCAATGCATCTAACAAAACATACTCTGCATTTTCTTTACAAATAAAGCAATACCACTTAGCATATTATGTTTTACGGTCACAAAAGTGTTTTATAACACCATACAGTGATTCTGGGAAATTTCAACACTGTGTTTTTAGTTTATGAATAGTAATTATGAGTGATTTCTGTCACTTGGCGACCTGAGGCAATATATCAAAAGCAAGCCAGACAAGTGGGCTTTAAAGTTGTTTGCCAGGGCATCTGAGGATGGCTTCATCCATGACATTGTGCTATACCAGGGCAGGACTACCCTGGAGGCCCATGATGTTCCCCTGAAACCTGAACAAGAAGGCTTAGGTGCCACCAGCCAGATTGTATCTGTCCTTGCCAGTACCATGTCCTTCCCCACCACCACAGCCATCTATGCTGATAACATTTTCACCAGCCTGGCGCTAGTGCAGTACCTACATTATATGTAGTTTTATCTATGTATACTTATTGGAATTTGTTTTCCCACTTAGAGGCAAGTAACCAAATTTGATCACTTCATTGGCCTTGACATTTTTACCACTAAAGGGCAAGTTACCAAATATGGTAACTTCATTGAACTCGATTTTCAACATGAAAATAAAAAAAATTCAAAAATGTCACAAATGGAATAAAGTCTTATTATGTTGTCCAATAACACTCTAAGGTTGAATTTTTGAATATTAAAGTATTTCATTGAGTGCCCTATAAAGGGATACTAGTAAAATTAACATCCAGTTATCGTTTATTGTACATTGAATACCAGTAAAATTTAAAGTTTTTCTGTAAAGTTGTTTACATCTGTACTGTATTTTTCACAGAATTATTCCGATAACCACAGCTGCCAGTTGCTTTCTGTAAAAACAACAGATTTTTTTTTTACAGTGCACACATAAAATATTTTAAAAATGATAAAATTCAATTCAGTTTTATTTCTATAGCGCCACATCTCAACAACAGTTATCTTTCCAAACAGAGCAGGTCAGACCTACTCTGAAGTTAAACCCAACAATTCCAACAATAAAAGGTAAGGTGAATAAATAGATGAATATGTATAATAATATATATGAATATATAAAGTGAAGGCCTACATGTATAATTCTGACTGCTTTTCCTGATGGAGCTGAGGGAATAAGGAGTGTTTGTGTCTGCTGGTCCGGGGGTTTATATTTATAACGGGAAACAGAGGGTCTAAACTGGAATTGTCTGGTCTGGGGGGTTTATATTTATAACGGGAAACAGAGGGTCTAAACTGGAATTGGCTGTTT